GTGAATTGAGTTGGGTTAGGTAGAGGCCTTTCTCGCTCTGACACTCAGTTTCTTTAACTGTAGAATGGGGATCATGGGGCATAGAAGACATTCTCGTTGGTTGTCGTGGAGATTCAGTGAGAGAGTGATCAGTTCTTAAAGTGATTGTCTGCCTTGAGTCGTGAAGAGTACATTTGTTGGAATCCACATTCCATTATGAGAAATTCACATTCCATCATCTGAACTACTGGACAAGCGCTTGTGGCTCTCAGGCACACAAATGGCCCCGTGTGAACAGTTTGGCCACCAACATCTCTCTGGTTGCCAGATTGCCTGCGGCAGGAGTTGCAACTGACCCTAAGTCCTTAGACTGGGGCTCACGACTAAGTCACATTTGCTGTACCAGGCCTGCCAGGACAGCTGTTTCCAAAGTCAACTGCATTCCCTGCCGAGAAGCCAGGGCTGAATTCTTCATCACAGCCTGGCTGTGGGTTAGGCGTTATAAATAATGCTGTGCTGACAGCCAGGTGGACCGCATAGCTAACTGGATGACGTTTCATCTGTCCTGACAGGGACAGCCCTGCAAATAGAATCTGAGTGGCGGCAGGCCCCTCGGAGTCATTGTGCCCTTCCACTGAGTCTGGTGGGACCCTCTTCAGCTCATCTCAGACTGGAAGATGCCTGCCTTTTTTTGTTTCTTATACGTCTCCATGGAGAAAGGGAAACTCTCCCCAGGACACTATATTTTTCTTTTGGCAGTGGCTAGTGCAGGGTTAAAACATTCTGGAATCAGATCAGTGTTCAAATCTGGACTGAGCCACTCACAAGCTGTGTGACCTCAGGCAAGTTACCAAACCTCTCTGAGCCTCAGTTCCCTTACCGTTAAGATAAAAGAGGAGAATGGTGACCAGGTTCAAGAGTTGATATGGGTTTTGGATGGAATAAGGATCACAGGATCAAATGCTCTGGGAATGGGAGGTGTGATTTTGGGGGGGATACCAGGTCGTCAAGGACAGTTACTCTGCCACCTCCCTTGGTGTGCATGGGAATGGTGAGAGTTGCTCATCACTCAGGACAGGTGTAGCTCTGTCTGATTCCAGGGCTAGATAAGACCCCCTCCAAAGGGCCACTCCATTGCCGGTGTCCTCATCTCCCAGGCCTCTACCTAGGAGGCAGAGTAGCACAATGGGAGGACACAGGACTGAGGACCAGGGTTCGATTCCTGGCTGGGTGACCTTAGTACATCAACTGCTTTCTGTGGGCCATAGCTGACGGGGAAAGCCCTGGATAGAGCTTTAAAAAATAGCCATGTTTGTGGTTTTTAAAACCACCCTGCTGGGAACAGAAGTGCCTCAGATGTGGCTGTGCTCACTTCCATGCCCAGCCTCCATTAAAAACAGATTTGTGGCTGAACGCAGTGGCTCATGCCCGTCATCTCAGCCCTATGGAAGGCTGAGGTAAAAGAGTTGCCTGAGACCGCATTTCTAAGTCAGCTTGGGCGATGTCGTGAGACCCCCATCTCTACAAAAAATATTTTAAAAATTAGCCAGGCATGGTGGAGCACGTCTGTAGTCTCCGCTACTCAGAAGGCAGAGACAAGAGATCGCTTGGGCTCAGGAACGTGAAGCTGCCATGAGCTATGGTGTCACCCCACTACATTGCAGCCTGGGTGACAGAGTGAGACCTCATCTCTAAAACATTAAAAATAAAAAATAGATTTGTGCTCTAAGTAAGAAAAGCTTAACAAGCTGCTGTTGCCAGCAGACTCGAGGTTCACCTGGAGGAGGTGAGGGTGGTACCCCACCTCCAACAGCATGGCTCTCAAAGGCACCCGAAAGTAAGCATCCTCCCTGGTTCCCCGTTGCTTGTTGGAAGTCAGGACTTTGCTGAGCACTCAAGGCTTCTCCAACCTGACCTTCCCCCTCCAGCTCATTCCCACGCTTTGGAATCAACTCCAGGCCGTTGTGTGACTGCTTTAACGTGGTCCAGCATTTCCTTCCGCCCACTTCAATTCCCTCTACCTTGAAGGCTGTTCCTCTGCTTCTCCATGGAGTCCCATTCTTTACTTCTTATTCTAGACCACATTGAAATATCCTCTCACATCAGAAGGTTTCTCTTTTGAGCCCTCTAGGGAGAGGTAAGCAATTATTCATGCTTTTCAGTGCTGCATTTGTAGAATGCTTACTATGTGCCAGACATTAGGGATAAAGAGTGAACAAAGGCCAGGCGCGGTGGCTCACGCCCGTAATCCCAGCACTTTGGGAGGCCGAGGCGGGTGGATCACGAGGTCAAGAGATCGAGACCATCCTGGTCAACATGGTGAAACCCCGTCTCTACTAAAAATACAAAAAATTAGCTGGGCATGGTGGTGCGTGCCTGTAATCCCAGCTACTCAGGAGGCTGAGGCAGGAGAATTGCCTGAACCCAGGAAAAAAAAAAAAAAAAAAAAAAAAAAAAGCCTGGTTCTGAAACCAGGCAGACAAAGAGCGAAACTCCGACTCAAAAAAAAAAAAAAGAAAAAAGAGTGAACAAAAAAAGACACAGTCTCTAACTTCATGGAGTTTATAGTCCTGTTGGAAACAGAGTTAGTCAAATACAGACGCCATTGTTTATGTATTTAGAAATCTATATTAGTGCCCCTAAGTTCCAGCAGAATGCTTAACAAGGGATCTGCCTAAATTGGTGTATTGGGAAAGGCTTCTCTAAAGAGGGGATGCTGAGGCTTCAGGTCCAGTTAGCCAGGTGAATGGGGAGTAGGGAGGGCAGCGTGTGCAAAGGTCCTGTGGCAGGAATGGTGGTGTACAGTGACGGCTTATCTTGGTCTACCCCAGGCAGTCCCTCGTGTCCTGGCTTATGGATTAATAGCATTCTCTTTCCTTCTCCAAAGTGGCCTGGTTTGGAAGGTAAATTCTATGGTTGACTAACGGAATGAAAAGAAGCCTGGAGTGTCAGGGCTGCCGTGTGGGAGAGGTTTGGCAGGGACTGGACCACATGCTCGGTGAAGGCTGGAGAAGGAGGTCATGATCTCGCCTGAGAATGATGAGATACCATTGAAGGGTTTCAGGCACAGTGTGCCAGGATCTTCTCTACTTTCTTTTCTTTTTTTTGAGACAGAGTCTTGCTCAGTCACCCAGGCGGGAGTGCAGTGGTGCAGTCTCAGCTCACTGCAACCCCCGCCTCCCGGCTTCAAGCGATTCTCCTGCCTCAGCCTCCTAAGTAGCTGGGATTACAGGTGCACGCCACCATGCCTGGCTAATTTTTGTATTTTTAGTGGAGATGGGGTTTCACCATGTTGGTCAGGCTGCTCTCAAACTCCTGACCTTGTGATCTTCCCACTTCAGCCTCCCAAAGTGTTGGGATCACAGGCGTGAGCCGCTGCACCCGGCCAATCTTCTCTACTTTTGAAAACAACATCTGCCTTCTCTGTTATCCCTGTTTTTGGCTACTGCTCTCTTGAGGATCCACCCTGCACATTATGGGTTGTTGTTTTCCATAGTTCTTCTCTCCCTAGACTGTGAGCTTCGGGAGGGACAGAAGGAACCCCTCCTGGACAATGCTCCATGTTCTTTTCCTTCCCACTTGCTGGATGTTGGGTAGGAACAAATTTCTGGAGGATGTTCCATGGCTTCAATGCTGGAGCTTCATTGGGTAGTTAGTGTGAACAATAAACAAACTTCTATTATGTCTGAGCCATCATAAATGACTTAGAAATAGTGAAAGGGAAAATGCTAGCTACTGTGCAGTGAGCTCACGGCCTATGTTAAGCTTGCAAACTTTATTCTCACTATTTAATTTAATCAGGAGACTACTTCATGGATAAGGAAACAAAGATTCAGAGAGGTGACTTGCCCAAGGCGACACAGTGAATGAGCAGAGGAGCTGGGATTCAAACCCAGGAATGTCTGACTTAAAGCCAAAGCTCTTAAAACAGCAACCGTGAAATTAGCAGCCCCCAATTTCTCCGTCTGTGGCAGCAGCGAGAATCTCCCCACCCTGTGGATCCAGGGATGAGGCTGGCCATTGTCCTGCTAGGCAGAGCTTGACCAGGGCAGAGGCTGGGGTAGGGGAGGTGTGTGGGAGAGACAGGGGCAACCCGCACCTGCAGTTGTAGCTTCTGATCCCATGTCTACGTCAAGTACCCAGCTCAGACAGGGGATGGTGGTATTTCTTTCACCCGCCTGCAGTTTGGCAGGTTCCTCAAAGAGAAATGCTCTTAGATTCATTTAAAAGTCTAAGCAGGGACAGCACAAATTATTAGTGTTTGAAATATTTATAAAGTCTCTTGTTTGCCATGGCATAGGAGGTGATAGACCACAAATAAAAGAAAACCGCAGATGCACCACGCATGGAGACGGGGAGGAATGCTGTCTGCCTGCCACCGCCACCTCATGTTTGAAGGCTGCTAAGCCCGGTGAATTTCCATTCTGCGTTTTCTCAAACTGACTTCCTTTCTACAGCTCTGTTCACCTCTCCCTCGTTAAGACAATCACCAGATACTTAAATGGAGGATTTCAACCCCACAAACCAAACACATCAGGGCAAGCTGGGGTAAAGACAGAAGAGAAGGCACTGCTTTTATTTTTGTGTTTTGAGAAAGTTTCACCCCTGTCCCCCAGGCTGGAGTGCAATGGCATGATCACGGCTCACTGCATCCTCTGCCTCCTGAGTTTAAGCAATTCTCCTGCCTCAGCCTCCCAAGTAGTTGCAACTACAGATGCACACCACCATGGCTGGCTAACTTTTGTATGTTTATAGAGACAGGGTTTTGCTATGTTGCCCAGGCTGGTCTTCAACTCCTGGGCTTAAGCGATCTGCCCACCTCAGCCTCCCAAAGTGCTGGGATTACAGGTGTGAGCCACCACACCCGGCCAGGAACGCTGTTTTAAAAATTTTTCTGGGAGTCTAAAATGATATCAAAATTAAAAATTAAAAAAATCACACAACATAAACTTATATAGCATTTAAGTTTATGGGAAAAAAAAACCATGGAGAAAAATAAATGTGCTTTTCTGATGTGACAGAAGGAAAAACCGAAGTCACCCAGTGAGTCAAGGATGAAAACCGAGGTCGTCCGTCTGACTTCCAGCCCGGAGGTCCGTCCCTTTTTGCTGATCTTTGACCACTGAAATGTACATGCTAATGATTTAGAAAGAGGTGCTTAGGTCCTGATTTGGGAATTACATAGCTTGGATTTATTCATCGGTGTGCAAATATACATACATCTGCTATATATGTATATGCATTTATTCACTCAGATCAATGAATGAATGAATGAATGAATGAACTCATTTGTTTATTCATTTACTGACTCAAAAAATACTATACTATGTGCAGGAGATGCAGCAGTGAGCAAGAGAGATTTGGCCCTGCTTTTCCTGAGCTAGTAAAAGATATGGTTTCAGGTGACGTCTCATGCTTCCAGTTGATCCCAGGAGGAGCTCTGGAGTGTGAGTTGCACCCCAGAGTTGTTCTACCTTGGAGTAAAGAGGCTGGCCTTTTGCACCCTTATAATAGTCAATTATTGGCTGCATGACACCAATGTAGCCAATTGGTGTAGAGGGGAGGGTGTACCCTCTGCAGGATTTCCGGGTAAGGCAGCTCCTGTCCGCGGAGGGCCGGGTTAGCTGTGAGGTGCTGCTGTCTTAGCAGCCAACATTCTCCACAGCCAGTGCTGGACTTACCAATTTCCATTACTAGTTTAATGTACATTTAATGTACAACCAAGGGGGTTGGATGCATTGATCTTTCAGAGGAGATCTGAGTGAGGCAGGAATGGTATCTACTACATGAGGAACGGAGCTTTATCCTACTGGGAAAGTGGGGGAGGCAGTCCGGAATTCATACTTCTATGTGATCTCAATTTGAGGGATGAGGGAGCTGGGCTATTTACCCACCGACCCCTGGCAGCCCTCACCGAAGGTGGCTCCCAGGGGAGGTTAATTCTCAGCATGGCCGGTGTGCAGCCACAGAGAGCTCCAGCAGCAGACAGAGTCACATGCTGGAAGGTAGAGGTTGGGCAGATGTGCTCAGATGTGGCCGTGTGGGACGCCAAGATCATCTCCTCCAGGTGGCCTGGACCAATCGGACGTATCCCTCAGAAATGTGGAATGAGGAAGCTGGTGGATGCTTGGAGTCTCAGGTCAGCCGAGGCACCAGAGCAAGGAAATTACACCTGTGGCTGGAGTAGTCATCATGGCCTTTTGTGTGATGAAAATGTATGGGCATGAAGGTAAGGGGTCATCAGCATTGTTGGCCGGGACAGACCGGGAGTAGGGATCTCTCTGCACAGAGATGCTAGGAAGTCACTCGGGCAAGGAGGTGGCTGGCCGGGGACCTCACTTGGCTCCTGATTGTTCTTTCACTTGTTCGTTCATTCTACAGATATTTACTGAGGGACTATGACATGCTAAGCTTTGTGCTCAATGCAGGGAATGTGAAGGAGGAATGAACCAGGCAGGGTCCTAGCTCTGTGGAGTTTATATTCTATGTGTGTGTGGCAGGGAGAGGGGATAAGTAAATAAATGTACAACATAATCAGAGATCAGGTACCTTTAGTAAAGGAAACCAGCAGGGTGCAGGGTAGAGAGTATCTGATGATGAGGGTACTTTTGACAGGTGATCAGAGGCAGATTCTGATCATCCCCACTTTACAGATGAGGGAACTGAGGCTTTAGAGGATAAGGAACTTGCCCAAGCGCATTCAGCTAGTAAGTGGCCCTCTCTGTAGATTCCGTCTGTCTCGTGTAATACCTTCTACTCTTGGCTCTGTTAATTCCTTGAGCCAACACGGGTTAGATCCACTCTTTCTGCTTTCCCTGTCAATGATTTTATGATTTGGAGACCATGACACCGACCCTCTTGAATCCCTGCCCAGACCCTTCTGGGCATGCACTGGTCTGGGATGAGCTGTGACTAACAGGCTTGGGGCCAGCCTCACATTGCCGCTGTCAGGGTCCAGGAGACTAGAGTGGCTCTGGGGACAGGGAGACTCACCCCAGCCCACCACTTCTTCACCGTGGGACTTTGGACGAATGACCTCACTTCTCCAAGTCCCAGTTTCTTCCTCTGTCACATACTGACACCAATTGTCTCTACCTCCTGGAACTATCGTGAAGATTAAATGAGCTGATGCTTGTGTAAGATTTGGCGCCATGCCCAGGGCAGAGTAAACACTCACGTCAGGCTCGGTGGGGGCAACAGCTGCCCCCAGATATTCTGATCACCTGTCGGAGGGTCTGAAGGGGCCGGGGAAGGCAGGTACTCTCAGCCCTGGTCTTCAAGAGCCTCAGCCCCTGAGTGACCCTGAACCAGAGCTGCGGGTGGAGAAGAGCCAATTTCCTGACTTTGGGTCAGGACTGCCAAAGCCAATTAGGGAAGTCAGACGGGCGGCAGCCTCCAGCACCCAAGCAAACCGATGTGGCAGCCAGTGGAGGGGCCGGCTTGCTCTGACCTTAAACCCGAATGCTCCTGCCCACATCTGCAGCTAAATAAACCAAGTAAATCATGCTGGCAGATAGATAATTAAATAATTATCAGGCACTTAATAACAAGGAGTGGGTGTTCTGAATTACCATATTAGACAGTGTCTTTGAAGACTAATTGTTGCATTACATCAGAGTTACTCATTCATTATTCTTGTCATTTCGGGTGATAATTTGCACTTTAGGAGACAGCGACAATTTTAGCAGGCAATTAGAGACGTGTCAGGCCTGGCCCCGTGAGTTACTGTCACAATTATTGCCTTTTTTTCCCCGGGTCCTCATTGGCAGCCATGTATTTAAGGGGATTTGGGTAATTCCAGGCCTGTGCAAAACAACCAACCCACGGGATAGTGGCAGGGCAGGGAACACAGCAGCCGCCACCATGGGAGCAAGGAAGGGGCGGCGTCCCGGCCGTGGTAGTGCGAAGCCAGGGCCGGCAGGCAGAGCCGAGCAGGGCTGTCGGAGCCTCATCCAGTCAACGAGCGTGCTCCCTCCTAAGTAGTTGGTGACGCTGCCTGTTTCTCTCCTGGCTTCTTGTCACCCACTCAACAAGGCTTCTGTGACTGCTTACCTGAACCTTTGCAACGAGCTCTCACAGGTCTTGGGGAGACAGAAGGGAGGAGAGAATCAAGAAGGGGGAACAGAGAAGAGGAGAGGGGAAGGAAGAAACGAGAGGAAGGAAAAAAGATGTAGAAATCCCGTTTTTAACTTTCTATCTTTGATGAGGCTTGGGAACTGTGGGGACCTTGAGGATCCCAGGAGGGAGTGCCCCTCCTGGGTTTAGGTAATTGCTAGAGATAGCAAACCACTTCCCTTCTGAGGAAGCCTTTGATACGCAAACCAACCAATCCTGAGTCTATTTATCAAGGTCCTACCTCCAGGACCCTATCCCAGTGCTCCAGCTCACCCCAGGGCCAGGAACCAGGCAGCTAGGGACCTCCCCTGCAGCCCAGAGTCTGCTGAATGTATTCACAATGGCCAATGCTAAGTCTGCCTACCCTGGCTCACTTGTTCTTTCCGGCAAAATCCACGACATTGTTATCACTGCTGTTTCTGAGACAGAGTCTCGCTCTGTCTCCCAGGCTGGAGTACAGTGGCACAATCTTGGCTCGCTGAAACCTCTGCCTCCCAGGCTCAAACGATCCTCCCACCTCAGCCTCCCAAATAGCTAGAGGACTGTGCACCACCACGCTCAGCTAATTTTTTGTACTTTTTGTAGAGGCAGGGTTTCACCATGTTGCCCAGGCTAATCTCAAACTCCTGGGCTCAAGGGACCCGACTGCCTCAGCCTCTCCAAGTGCTGGGATTACAGGTGTGAGCCACCACGCCCAGCCTATTCTTATTATTTTATTTTGGCTACCATCAACCGAGAAGACAAAATCCATGATAAAGGCCCTGGCCTCCGCTTTCCCCTGGCTCCGTCTGCCCTGCGTAGCCTGTCATGCCCCCTCCTCTTGGGAACTGTGAATAATAAGCTATCTTTTCAGTAGTGGTCGTCTAGTGCTATGGGGTGTCACCATACCCGAACAAAAACAAAATCCTGTGTGTAAAACAGAAAATAATATAGGAAACAAGAGAAGAGAATAGAAGAAGGAAGTGAAAAATGAAGGAAAGAAAAGAAGAGCCGGGCGCAGTGGCTCAGGCCTGTAATCCTAGCACTTTGGGAGGCCGAGATGGGTGGATCACGAGGTCAGGGGTTCGAGACCAGCCTGACCAACATGGTGAAACCCCATCTCTACTAAAAATACAAGAATTAGCCGAGCATGGTGGCACACGCCTATAGTCTCAGCTACTCAGGAGGGTGAGGCAGGAGAATCGCTTGAACCTGGTAGGCGGAGCTTGTAGTGAGCTGAGACCACGCCATTGCACTTCAGTCTGGGCAACAGGGTAAGATTCTGTCTCAAAACAAACAAACAAACAACAACAACAACAACAAAAAAAAAAAAAAAGAGGGAGATGGAGAAAGACATCGAGAGAAGGGAACAGGAGAAAAAAGAGTTTGAAAGGAGAAAGAAGACTGAATAAAATAAAGAGAGAGAAAGAGGAGAAAAGGGACAATGTGGAAAGGAAAGAAAGGAGGGAGAGGGAGAACGAGGTGGGGGGAGGGAGAGGGAGCAGGGGAAGAACGCGGGGAGGCTGCCTGTGAAAGCTACCTCTGAAACCAACATTTTCCCCCCCAGTGCTTGCAGTGTTTACTTTTCAGTGAAATCCAGCGTCTGGGTTCATTTGCCCACAGCTGACTCACTTGACCCTGGGCAACTTCAGAGCAGACACCACGAGTCAATGACTCAGAGCAGGCCCTCAGAACATGTTTGTGACTGGCTCCATAGTGTGAATCAAGAAAAATAAAGCACGACTAAATACAAATGCAAAACTCCATAGAAAGGGAGGATTTTGAGCTTCAGGGCAATGACTTCTCAGCTCTGTCCTTAGCAATTAGACAGGAAGAGACGGCAGTGGCTGAATTGGGCCTCCTTTTTCCTCAGCTTAGACTTGGAAGGAGTCATCGGCTCAGGATGCATGCTGCCAGGAGACAGGGCAGCTGCTGAAGGGACGTGTGCCTCAGTAACCATCAGAGGTGGTAAAACTCAGTCCCTCAGAACGTGGGCCTGGAGTCTCAGTTCCACCACTTATTAGCTGTGTGACCTTGGGCAAGTCACATTTCTGAAATTATAATTTTGTCCTGTCAAGGTTGATAGGCTAGCAGGCTTTGCTGAGCTTTAACGAGATTAAGTCTATAAAGAATTATGGGCCAGGTGCTGTGGCTCACACCTGTAATACTAGCACTTTTGGGAGGCTGAGGTGGGAGGACCCCTTGAGGCCAGGAGTTTGAAACCAGCCTGGGCAACATAGTGAGACTCCCATTTCTACAAAAACTAGAAAAACTAGCTGGGTGTGGTGATGTGCACCTGTAGTCCCAGATACTTGGGAGTCTGAGGCGGAGGATGTCTTCAGCCCAGGAGTTGGAGGCTGCAGTGAGCTGCTGTGACTGTACCATGGCACTCTAACCTGGGTGGCAGAGTGAGACCTTACTCCAAAAAAATAAATAAATAAATAAAAGTTGGGTATGGTGGCTCACACCTGTAATCCCAGTACTTTGGGAGGCCCAAGATGGGTGGATCACGAAGTCAGAAGACCAAGACCATCCTGGCCAATATGGTGAAACCCTGTCTCTACTAAAACATGAAAAAAAAAAATTAACCAGGCGTGGTGGCGCATGCCTGTAATCCCAGCTACTCAGGAGGCTGAGGCAGGAGAATCGCTTGAACCTGGAAGGCGGAGGTTGCAGTGAACCGGGATTCCACCACTGCTCTCCAGCCTGGCAACAGAGCAAGATTTCATCTCAATAAAATAAAATGCGTAGGACCTGATGCAGAGCAAGTGTTTCTGGGTAAGTGGGAGCTACTGTTTTATTATTATTATTCTAAATTTGAATTCGTGTATGGTTCTCTGTCCCTACTTGGCTTTGATCTGGACCCATCATCTTTCTGCTCCTATTAGGTTAGAAGATGATTCTGGTGGTGGGGCTGGTTCCCTCTGGCACCGGGACTGGCCCTTCCTAAGATGGTTCCTCCGAGGGTTGGGATTTTCCCTTGACCTCACTCCTTGGGGCATGCCACCCCATACATCACAAGTCCACTCCTGGCTGGGAAGCAGAAAGAAGGACCCTCTACAACATGTACTCAACATCCGCTGCCTCCCAAAGCCCCATGCCAACCATGTAGCATTCTTTACTTTGTTAAGCCTCACAGGAACCTCTGAAGTGGGGGCAATTATTCCATTCCCATTTTACAGATGAGAGGACAGGCAAAGAGAGGTAGAATAGGTTCTTTAGGGTGATACAGCCACACAATGGCAGAGTCAAGATTTGAGCCTGACTCAGGATCTGTTTTGCAGTCTTCACTGTCTCCTAAGATGCAGTGTCATTACCCGATGTGGTCACCCCACAGGTGAGAAACTCAAACAGTGCTTCGAGCCCAGTTCTGCAGCAACAGCTGGCTTCATACAGCAAAACGGGTTTTTCCCAAAAATGTAAAAAATTGTATTTGAAGAAAACCACAAACCATGATGTAAAAGGTGCAAGTGACTGGGGACAGTACATTTTAAGGATATATATAACATATATAAATCTATGTTTATATATACATATACATACACACACATATGCATAAGCTAAATGGAGTTAATTAAGTTAAAACCACAGTAAATCTAACAGATTCATATTAACATGATGGTCAGAACTGTAGGAAATATAGTATTTTGAAAAAGAATAAATCCAGCCAATTACAGATTTATGTTGACGCCAGCACGGTTACCACCGTTTTACAATAATCATGGATCAATCAACGTTTTATGACAAAACTATAATTTTCACGTGTTTCACCCTCACCTAAAAGTTTCCTCGTTTGCTTAATTCCCAGAATGTGATTCTATAAATCTTTCTCTCTGCGATATTAAGTAGATAATAAGAACGCCATGTAAGATTTGCTTATGGTTTAAACCACAGTTGCAAATGATTTATAATTAGGGTCAAATCTAAGACAAAACATTATTAAAGTCAAAACCTGCTGTAAATTGGCGCGGTTGGCTTGGGCATTTAGGAATTTATCGGGGTTTGATGACAGTATTTCGTCTGGTGATTTCCATGGGGCCAGCTGACACCAAGGGGGGATATTTATGATTAAGGAAAAGCTATAGAATATACTGGGGTGTCCCTGGTGGCTTCAGCCAAGGGGACTGCCCGGCCTGACTCTGTGTGTCATCATCAAAGGCAAGACCCTCAGTGTGGGTTTCTCTAGGCATGTGACCCACCACCGAGAGGACAGAGTCCACCCTGCTTTCCCTACAGGCTGATCTCCTTGGAATTGTTAGCTGAAGATGTTACCCAGAATAAATCAGACCACTAGAGTGTCATTTGCGCAACATGTGTTTATTGAGCACCTACTATGTGCAAGGTCCTGGGGATACAGTGGTCAACTAGTGAAGCAAATGTCTCTGCTCTCACATTGTGGAGAAGAGACCTAATCCCTTACACATAGGAGGTAAGGCACAGGCCAATATAGGTGGGAGTTTGGAGAGATGTGGGCGATGGGTGAGAGAGAAGCTGGTAGGAAGTGGGAGAGAAGCTAGGCTGGTGGAGAGTGGGAAGAGAGGCTGGCGGAGGTGAGGGGGAAGTTATAGGGATAAGGGGGAGGCTGGTAAGGAAGGGGTGGGAGGACGGATGTATAGTCCATTTAAAATAAAGTGTCAGGGAAGGCCCCCTGGAGGAGGTGGTGTTTCCTTTGTGTTAGGGGTAGAGGAGTGAGCCAGGGGCTGTCTGGGGAAAGAGCATTAGTAGATCTTTTTCTGAGGAGGAGATATCAGTAAATGCAGAGGCTACGAGAAGACAGCATCGCAGCACACATGAGTAACAGGGAAGAACCCAGTGTGTCTGGAGAAGAGAGAGCAATGGGGGGTCTGGGGCGTGGAGTCAGGGCTCAGGCCATGCACGGCCAACACCTTAGCTCTCCGGTGATGGGGAGGCCATAGGGAGGGTTGGACCGGGTGATGACCTGCTCAGATAGACATTTCAAAAATAATTGTTTTGGACACCGTCTGGACAAGTGACAGGGCCAGGAGCAAAATGGGAGGCATTCCTGCTATCCAGGTGGGAAAGGAAGGTAGTCGAGACCAAGAGGTAGAGAGGAGGAGAGATGAGTGCACTTGAAATCATTTTTGGAGTGGGGCTACCAGGACCTGTTGATGAATTGGACATTGGACATGACAAGGAGAGAGGATTGAAGGCTGAGTCGTTTGAGCGAAGTTTGAGTCGTTTTCGGCTGGAGCACCTATTTCCATGATGCTGCTCGTTCCGGAAATGAGGAGGACTGGAGGTGGAACCAGGTTAGAGAAAGAGTGGCATGGGGTCCAGATTTTGGTGAGGGCTTATGAAGCTTGAGATGCCATTAGTGTCCAAATGAAGAGGTCAGGGGAGCAGGTGCATATATGAGTCTGACCTGTTTTGGGAGAGAGGTCAGGCTGGAGTAAGAAAATATGAAGGCATCAGCCTGAGGCTGGTTTGAAGCCATGAGGTCACCAAGAACCAAGGGGAGATAAGTGCAAGGGAACATCTGCA